ACATGCGTTCCACGAAACCACAAAAGTATTTCTATACAATGTAGAACTACCACGTATCTGGTAATGGAATGTCCGTTAGGCTACGACACAAATTCATCATCCCTATCTCTTTCCTAGCGATTTGCAGTGCTCATCATTTGTTAGTTCAGGCTTTGTGATTGCGGATACCATTTCTGCTCCCCATTCGATCTTGTTGTCATCATATAATGAGCTTACCGTGATATCCTTGTGGTCTAGCATACCCTCTCACTGACCCCAAACTTCTACACTTTGAGTGTGGATGCCAGAAGCGCTTTCGTGAACGAGGGTTTGTTTTCGCACCTCGTAGAGAAGCAGAGGTAGCAGAGCAGATTTCGTGGTTGCGATCATTCGACTACGGCTGTGAGCTTTGTGACGCACATAAGTGAGTCATCGCTCTGCATACACAACCTTACCTCATGTGGGAGCCTTTATCTCTCGAGTCCATAGTTTCTCTTGTCCTTGGAGGATTGAGCTTGTTTCTCGCTCTGCATTTTATTATTTGTAACTGAAGGAGTTCGCCGAGCAATCAAAATTAATGTCGGTATTCATACTAGTGATTAGGAAACAACATTGAGCATCTGGTTGAGGGGAAAGCCTCTTATGTTGTATGTATGTTTTCTTTACCTGCTCCTTAAATCGACTCTCGGATTAACACCTTTCACTTACAATATCTCAACCTGTTTTTTTTTTTTCCTCAGTGTTAGACTGTATAGAGTTTATCCGACATATGGGTACTTTGGCAGGGTGAGGTAAAATATATTTTTTTTTAATCGACCCGCAACCTGTCCAGTTATCGACGAATGGTATGTGTTGTTGTTGGCAAAATATTCGCCATGGTGATTTTTATTTTATTTTATTTTTTGTAAAGGTTGTGCAGACTGAGGTATAGGCAAACCCTACGCTGGCAACCGGTGCTTTAATCAGACTCCCACAACACACCCGGGACGAAGGGGGGCATACGACGTACATAGTTGGGAGAGTAGGGTCACTGAGCGACTAGGTACCATTGGGAGTTTCCCAACTTGGAATGCCATAATGATTTTTGTTGTGGTGTATAAATGTCTTCTTTTCTCTATCCTTTCACCTTCGGAGAGTTTGTTTCTTCTAATTGAATATGGTCTCGATTCCCGAGCATATTCAGTTGCTGATGTGACAAACTTGTCGCCAACCATTTTCGTTGTCAAGGTCATCCGGTCTTGTCCACATTTGACGTCTGTTACGCCTCATTATCCCTTGCTTGCGTTTGCCCTGTTGCTGTTATTTCTTGTTCACTTCATTCTCCGGTATATGGTAATTCAGTCGCTTTACCACCCCTATTTATTTGCATTCAGTCATTTTGCTGCTTCTGTTACGCGCCATCACGTAATCCATGACCATCATACACTCCACGTCCATCACACAATCTCCACGTGTTCAAGCTTAGGGCCTCGCTCCACTACTTTAGAAATGTGCAAAACGAGAGTGAATCTTCCTCAGAACATGAAAAAAATACACCGCCATAATTATTTTTTTTTTGTGGATGTCGAGAGTAGTGGAGTGGGGCCCTTAGGCTAACCTCCACGTCCACGGTTGGTTATGACTCACATTTCGTGCTCTGGTCAGGGAGAGAGGCTCGCCTTGGCACTTGACGCTTCATGTGTTTCGCTTCTTATGTATAGGGCAGCTGATTTAACAAATCTCTTGGAGCTTCGAGGATGTATCTAAAGTTAGGAATGCATCTAGATTCATTGCGATAAGAGCAAAGGAAGTAGGCTAACAACTTTTGAGTTGTTGGTCTTTGAAGAACTTTACAAAAATGGATTTTGCAATGTTGGTAAACTGGTGTAGAAGAGCTTGAATTATGGGAATACATGTAAACTCTATGCTTGGTTTGCTATGAATGCCACTATCTATCAAAATCACTATGATATCAAGGCTTGTCCGACAACCGTGTCCATAAGTTAAAGCAATGTCCATGCCCTACATTGGCCTACTGATAAAGAGATAAAAAAAAATTGAATTTTGATAGCTCATGTATAATTGAGGTTAGCGGTGAATGCCAGTGTATGTCAAAATCGACGAAGCTTAATCGACATTCCTCTATGCTTGTTTATAAGTAAATTTTGGCCTAAATTTCCACCTTTATGCCCCTCTGTATTTAAACGAAATACTATAGCATGTGCACCTCCCAGCCAAGGAGTGAAGGACACTATATTTCATGCCTGCTCATCAGCAATGCACTTTCTTTTCTGCAAACAAACTCTAGGGCCACCTCTATCCTTGAGGGCGTGGGCCCAATGGGCTGTGTTCATGCTATGAAAGCATGAACCTAGCCTTTTTTACATGGCTCCACCGGACCCAGACCTGGACAGCTCATGTCCGGGGACCGGACGCATGTCCGGTCGGGTCCGGACATCCGAACACATCTGGACCTCCGGACATGTATGGTTTCGGACGGTCCGGACACGTAAGCAGGTCGGGAAATGAACAGACCTCAAACAAAAAAAAATCAACAAAATCTGAAAAAACGTTATGTTATGCAGAATAATAATACAAACCAAAGATGGGTTAAGATCACAGGAAAGGAGGCTACTCAAATGGCTAGCCTGCTGGAAATGGCGTGGGAAGATATGCAGGACATTCCTACATAGAGACTGGTTGTTCCACGATGGGTATTATCCATGGTGGTAACACCCTCTACCGTATGGTTGAAGAGTAGAGGGATGGAGATGGAGTTAACGCGCAAACGGTGCAAATGGCCGTTTGAATCGACCACATATGTCTGGCTAGCATGCCCTTCATCGAGGAGGGTCTTGTTCTGGTGGAGGGACCACTGGAATAGGATCTGCAATATTGCCTTCGTATGGGATAATGACTGGATCCTATTTGGTGCAACCCAAGCACAGTTACAGGCATGCAAGAACTGGACCTATGTTGCTACAATCATCTGCGCAGTTCTCTGCTGGGTAATTTGGGAAGAACGAAACTCAGTCCTCTTCCACCATAAATTTATGTCAGACCAGTGTATTAAAGAAAAAGTAAAGCATAACATTGTAGTAGCGATCAAGTGTGACTGGTCCAATAAGGTCTCTAGAACAAGAAGAAAATCAAAGTTTTTGAATTGGTTTAAGAGAATATGGGCTAGAGACAACGGGTTGGCCAAGGTAGTAGGTGAGAAGCTAGAGATTTCCCGATGTTTTTTTGCCGCCTAGTAGAGACCTGGACGCTTGGTCCTTAATTCCACAGGAGGAAGGCAACAGTTGGCAGATAAGTGGGGACAGAGGGAGCATTGCGATGACTCGGGAACCGCATTAGGTTCCACAGACTCAGGTTAGGGACAACTGGTAACATAATTTATAGGAATTAGGATAGCCCCTTGGATCGGTGAATCCACGACCCGAATTAGGAGACCGTATGAGTAAGGGGCGGTTGTACGAGTATTAGATAAGAATCATAAGGTCCTTGTTTTCTCTCTGCAATAGGATTTTGGTAAGTTCAGCAGTGGAATTTAGAACCCTCACCTTTAGGATTTTGGTAGTTATACATAATACGGTAATGTACTATAGTAGGTATAGGTGGTAGTAGGCCAGATAGGTTTGTGTGTACGATTTTGGTAGTTGTACATAGTACGGTAATGTACTATAGTAGGTATAGGTGGTAGTAGGTCGGATAGGTTTGTGTGTACGCAGCCAAGAGTTGTTGGGTCTGTAGTAAAAAGACCTGCAGGCTTTCAGCCTGTGAGCTAAGTTGGATGATGCTTCCAGATACTGGTTTTCACTGGGAGTAATGTTGAGGACCCCGCCCTCTAAGGGCCTCGTTCCACACCACTACAAATGTAAGGATCCTTACAAAAACATCGTTCCTCCACTCCCTAATGACAAGAACATCGAACCCTAAGTCTGTTTTCACATTCTCGGTTTTTAGGGTCTGCCCTTACACTAAGGGCGCCCCAGGCAAAATGTTCAAAATCTCTAGGGAGCCCCCAGAAGTGACTAGAAAAGTGAGGGTGAGAGGCCACCAAGAGCGTTTTTCATGGAGAATGTTTTTTAACTTTTGTTTTCCCGGCGAAGCACCGGTGTTCCTGGTTCACTGCTTCGTGTCCGGCCCTTCGCTTGGGACAGTGGCACCGCCAAAACCCAGTACCGCAGTTTCCAAGGGCCGTTGCGAGACCATTGTAGTCGTTGCGTGGGGGCCCAGAGTGCATTGTTCTGGAAGCGGCGGGGCCGCATGGCCATTGGCGGTGGTTCAAATTTGAAATATGCACATGGCAGCACCGTCCCTGCCAACGGGCACTTGATAGCAGTTGCTTCGCAACGCAAGCAGGACACAAAGGTCCCTCAGTGGTGGAGATTCACTACAAATGACGGCTGTATAGTCGAGATCAGACGCGTTGTCGTTTTCAACACTGCCGACGATTGTGCTGGTGTTCAACTCTCCTCACGTGTGCGCATGGCATACCTCCTCAGGAAGACTGCGATGTTGGCATTCGTCCTTGTCGCTTTGCTCATCGTCGTCCTACTGCAATTGTGGTAGGTGTTGAGGCACAACAGGGCTCCTCCACGAAAGAAGGCAACGAAAGAAGGCAATGAAGGAGGGTAGAGGAGCAAGGGCAAGGAAGGCGATGGGTGATGGTAGTCTTCCTTCGGGGCGGATGTACGGGATCGGGCCGGGGGTGCACACCGGGGTTCCTGACGGGACACGTCACCAAATCCATCCTGAGTTGTATGCCCATCTGCCTCCTTACATGCAGCCTTTGCCGGATGATGACGGATGGGTACCGCCCCCTTCAACCCTTCCTCTCGCGTGGGAGTCGACACAGACCTCCTACGAAAGCGCCCCTCGATCGGATGACCGTGGCACTGGGATGGGTCCGATGTTCTCCCTCTTGGCGGATCCGGCGGTTGGTCGTCCAGATCCTCTGCAGCTGCATTTGTCGCCGACGTGCACAATGGATGCCTCAAGAACCGTTCTCGTGGAGCACAACAGTCGTTCGCAAGGTGGGGTGTCTGTCACAATGCACGACACGCGCAAAGACGGGTCAGTGACATAGTGGTCGTTAATGTCATTGTACGCATGTAGGGGCAGCCATGACCTATTGCCGTCATCCTCAACTCTGGGTGCGCGAGCCGCTTCCTCGCAGTGGTCCTACAGGAAGGGTGACGACAGCAACCGCGGCAGATTTCCCCCAAGTGATAGAGAGGATCATAGCGTGGTACTCAAGAATGCGTACCGACGTTCAAGCCGGTGACGGAGGTGACGAGGACGCGCAAGAGGAGGATATGCCGGAGGGGGAGTTCATGGACGACAAGGAGGAAAGCGAGGAGGGTGATGACGCTGCGGTGAAGGAGGTCACACGTAAGACTGCGAATAAGATGACGACGAAGAGTCGTGGGAAGTCCAAGGCGAGAGAGGGAGGTCCCGATGATGGCGAGACGGGGGGGGGGGGGGAAGAAACATTAAGAACTGGGATTTGGACGATTCGCTCGTCCTGGCCCGCTGCAAAAGGGACCAGGACGATTACATGGTAGGTCAGGGGAGTAACTTCGCGCGGATGAAGACGAACACTTGGAAATGGAATGACATAGCAAAGCGAATAGCCCAGCAAGGGGTTACAAATAGAGATGGAGACTCGTGCATGAAAAGGTGGGAGAACATCTTTGGGTGGTACATGAAAATCTGGAATAGGGATAAAGACTCTGGCTTGCAGTCTTTTTTCCTTCTAACAGCGAAGAAACGAAAAAAGCTAGGGTATAAGTTCTCGATGGAACGACAGTTATACGACGCTATTCACGCGCCACCGCCGAACAATCAGGCCATACACCCGCCTAATCTGCATGACACTGGTGGACTGCCTCCCCAACAATCAAATGAGGGAGAGGAGAGCCAAGCAAGAGGTCCGACAGTAGTCGGGGAAATGTCCGCAAGCGACAATATGGAAAGGGAATCGAGGGATGGGTATGGCAGTAGGTCTTTGGGGGGCATGCTTGCGGGGAAACGGAAGAATGCACGACAGATGGCCTTCAATGCCATGACGGAAGTGATGAAGACACATTCAACAGTCGTGGCGGATTCAGTGGATCGTGCTAGCAAGTGTCAATGTGAAGTGTTGCAGCGACAATGTGACATCATGGAAAGGGAGGCGACGACGCAGGAGAAACAGTGCAAAGTGCTAGACGCTGGTCAGCGCATGCTATGTGATGCTTTGCCGAAGATAGCTTTTGCATTGTGCCGGACCTGATTGCAATTGACACGGTGGAGTGTGGAAGGGATGGCGACCCAGTACAGGCCTCACCAGATCACAACCGCCCCTCCACGCCCTTTCACCCACCAAGAAAACCACACTTCGCCTTTCCTTTTAACAACCCCCCCCCCCTTTTTTTGACTTACCCTGAACTACCCTCGCCCGCTATCTATTCTGGTTTTTCAAGCCCACCCCTTGTCTCTTTATCCACAGTTGTCTTGTTTGTGGTACGGCCGTACAGAGGGGTGGTCAGGCGCCCGTCCTCTGATGGGAGCACACCGTCAAGCCGCATTTGGCACGACGTTGACGGACGTCAACGACGACATCCGGACGGTTTTCAAATATAAAAACGTCGATTACGTTGATGATCCGCAGTGATGTGAACGACGTAACTCCCTCGATGCATGTGGGTGAGAGGTGGTACAGATTGTGCGTTGTGTGGAGTGCAAGCGGCAAGCGGGGGTGCAACTGCTTCCTAAAGTGTGGTGTGTGGAATTCACACCGAGCGTGCGCGAGGAGAGTTGG